TATTGAAAATTGTCTTTGACGATAATTAATCAAATTATCTTTCTGTAGCTAAGAAAAAGAGATATTACTTTTCGCATGTTTTATCGAGATCGAATATGTCCCGAAACGAAAAATTTAAGTAAAAATATATACAATTGCATTGTAAAATATATTACGCGTACTATTAAATTTTTCGAGCACGCTCGCGGAAACAACTTTCTCATAGCATTTTGAAATATCGTCCGTCAGCAATCCGTTGTATAAGCATTGACGTATCTCAGCCCACTGCAGCGGGAGGGAAAAAGAGTTAATATTGACGTTCTCGTTTATCTTGTCGTTGAATCGTGTCGCGTCCTCCGCGAAGATGTACGGCCTGTTGCGCGTATGAAAACAATGTCAATCATAGCGCGATAAATCGAACCACTTGGAACCTCTTTCTGTACCGATTGGTTTCTCTTTTTCTCCTCATCATTCACGTATTCGAGCGAAAAAAAGTACGGCTACGGAGAGAGAAACAAGCGAGAAAATCAGAGACTGCCTCTGCGTGAACGGAGTTTGGAAGCGGGATTTCGCGGAGCAAGTTCTTCGCGATCTGAAAAGGAGACCAGAGTGGCGGGGCGCGAGTGCGCCGCTTTTCGAGATGGGTGAAGTAATTCGTTCCAAATCGAAGCAATCCCATGGAAGCCCGAAAGCAATTTCGAAAGAATTGCATTCTGAGACCGTCCACGTGGTAGCCCCGGGGCCAAACACAACCGACTTTACCACGCACGAGAATGCCGAAGGAAGTTTCGGAAGACCTTGAGAACCTTGAGCTAGAATTCCCGATCGATTCGCGAAAAGAATCTGGTTTCCAAGATACGTTCATTTCTTTCCCTTTAGGTCAATGGAAGCCGAACGTGTTGTATAAGTATTATCTCTTTTTTTTTCCGGATAATTACGTTCACTTTCCTCTAAGACGGTGTCTACATTTAGAGGTTCTGGTGTCGAATATAAACGAGGGTGAACTCGTAACTTGTAATATCTAATACCTCGCATAAATTCTTATCGCGTTATTTATCGCATCCCCTCGTTCGATACGAAACTTTTAGGATTAATTCTGGTAATCCTTTTTAGATAGTTACGCGACTTATATATGCGAATGGAGTTTCCAACAAGAATATTCGCGTATCGCCCCTAGCAACCAAGTATCCTCTCTCGTTACGTTCTCTTCACATTCTCTATATCTCGTTTCTGTCTCCTGTTTCTCATCCGCTTTTCCGCCCGACGCTGCCTTTTCTTCCGTATGACTTTAGCGTTCGAGAAAGATAGCGGTGAAAGAAAAAGGTCTTTCGTATTTTTTATTTCACAGAACCGCCGCAGGTCGTAGTCGTGTTTAAGTCACGTTCTCGCGTGGGCGGGCAAGAATATTCGCCATCCGTTTAATTTTCCTAATGGATCAGCCGGTGCACGTTCAATGAAAGATTACGAAATAGAGGGCGCAAAAGAGTCTGCTACAATTTTCTTCCTACTTGTCTTAGCCACGCCGTCTTGCCTTACCGCTTTTACCCCTCGTGTTCGTTTTCTTGCGCCACCGTGGCGTGCCGTGTCGAGTTACCGTTTTTCTCACTCCCGTGCAGTGGCGAGAGAAACTTCTCGACTTGAATCATATCTTCTTCTTGGCGTGTCAGTATCGTTACCGACTAGCGTTTCGTAGCTAGTTTTTGTTTTCCTTACAAGAGATACCGGTAAGGTACGCAAAAACATTTCATGGAAAATCTCTCCCCGCAAACCGCAACGATTTGTTGGAGTGAAGGAAAAGGGAAGCATTTGTTCCGGAATGTGATAAGTGAGAAGTGTAAAGTGGAGATTTACCTCAATTTTCTGCAAAATACAAATGATATAATTTCGTCTGTTCTAATATCAAACTTTTGTATGATTCAATACAATGTTAATAAAACAGTTCTCTCCCAACGTTGTATTTTTACGTGAAAAAAAGTATAGTGTTTATTAAAAAAATATTTATATTCATAGAGAAATAAATAATATTTTATATATATCTATTGTGCGAGATCGCTATGAAACAATAAAGCAGAATATTGGTTTGAGGGGAATCAGAATAAGCAAAACGTTAAAAAACGCAGCACAAAGACTGGCAATGCCTTCTGTCGCTAACGGACCCCTGCGGCGCTTTATAGGACAATACTAGACGGGAACAATACAAAGAGAGCCCGCAAATTGGCTTCGATGGTTCGTAGACGGGGTCGCCATTCGGGCAAATCAGCGCCGCGCGGTTACGGTCGTCAAATCAATATTTGCACCTCGCCACTTTCGCACACAGAGAGGCAGTGTGCAAAGTCAGGCGTGTCGGAATTAGCGAAGAAGGAAGGAAGGAAGGAAGGAAGGAGGCCGAGAATAAGGAGGGTTCGATCCGGTAGTGAAGGACGACGACGACGACGACGACGATGATGATGAGGGGATGAGGGTGCGGAGAGAGATGCGAGGGTGGCGAGACTACGTGGTTGGCGGCGTTGGAAATCGGTGGTAAACTGAATTAACCTCGTGTTGACCCGCGATCGTATGTTACCAATGACTTTCTATTACGTTGTCGGAGAGCCGAACCGGATAAAGTCCATTATAATCAAACATTCACCGTGAATAGGAAAAGGAATGATCAAAGTATCGTCAATCGGGATGCCTGGGCAAACGTTACACTCCTCGATCGTTTCGCATGCATTGGCTTCGTTCGCGCTAGTGCAAGATTTGTTGAATTTACTGTAAGTATTTCGCTCTCAGTTCAGGATATTCGCCGAAACATGCGCGCGCGAAACAAGCTTTTGCTTTCGCGTATTAAAGGAGCGGAAGTTAGTTTCCGATCGTTGCAGCGAAATTCGAGCACGCCAACCTTCCAGCAATTTTTGGTATGTAATGCAGTCTGTAGCACATCGATCAAGACGGCGATTACGTTCTTGCGTTTTGGCTTTTTCGTGTCGACAAGCGACAGCACGAACAGGCGCTCAGACGATGAGTTCTTTGAGTTGATGCCTTTCAAGTTTGCAACGTGGTTTAACGCTACCAATATTACAGGAAAATATACCGAGGCGTCAAGGAACGTTTCCCCTTTGCAGCTACATGAAAGCAGAAAGACTTTATTGACAACGAATAGCTATTTCCTCTAATAAGTATATTTATCAGCTTTTTGATATATGTGTTCTTTAATTTAACAATTTCAATTAATCGTAAGATAAATTCGATAAATTCAAATTTGATTCGTCGTAGAAGATTACATAGAGAATAATATTCCGTGATTATGAGTTTATGTAATTGGCAAAAATCCGTATTCTCAATGAAACAAGCAACATTAATTTTTTATTTTTCTTATTATGTACGAAGGTCTGCAAATCATTTAGATAATTTTTGTTATTTTATAAAAATAAATATTTTACAAATTTATATA